GGACCTTCCTCCAGAGCCGACAGAGAAGAAAAAGCCTTCCCCTGGAGGTGACACCCTGAATTTGGACTTGTAGCCTACTGGACTGTGAGAGAATAAATTTCTCTTTGTTAAAACCATCCACTTGTGGTATTTCTGTTAAAGCAGCACTAGATGATTGAGACACCATCTCAAGGATAGATCTGAAGCGTTGAACATAAAGATGGAAGACAGACAAGTTGTGGAATGACATCAAGGCCATCATACATGAACAAAGCAGGAAATCATTAAAAAGACAAGAAAGAAAAGACCAAAATAGATGTCAGAAGAGACTTCTCAGACTTTCTCTTGAATGTTGAATAGCTAAAGCAAAAGGAAGAAATGATGAAGTAAAAGAGCTGAATAAAAGATATCAAAGGGTGGCTTGCGAAAACAAAGTTAAATATTATATTGACATGTGCAAAGACCTGGAGGTAGAAAACCAAAAGGGAAGAACACGCTTGGCATTTCTCAAGCTGAAAGAACTGAAGAAAAAATTAAAGTCTTAAGTTGAAATATTGATTAATTCTACGTGAAAAATATTAAACAATGCAAGAAGCATTAAAAGATTGAAAGAATACACAGAGTCACTATAACAAAAAGAATTAGTCAATGTTCTTCAACCATTTCAGGAGGTAGGATATGATCAAGAACCGATGGTACTGGAGGTGAGGCCAAGATGGCGAAGAAGTCAGATGACTTCCTATATCCCTCTTACAACAAAGACCTGGAAAGACAAGAGATTTGATTGTATATGAATATCTAGAAGCCCCGAACAAGGCAAAGTTGAGGAATCGGACTGAGTGGTGGGGGGAGAGGGAGACGGTTCTGAAGAAGTGAGAAGTGCCAGACCGCAGCTGGAGCCACATCTCTTCAGCCCCGACTGACTCCGAGGTATGCAGTGAAGGAGGCAAACAGCTGCGTGTGCATGCTCGGGAGGGAGTTTCCACATCGAGAGATATCCAGCAGCAGAGATTCTGCTTGGACACTCTGAACCACCGAAAAGCAGCCTCCAGGTGGCTAAAGATAAGTACACCCGTGTGGCCTTTTGCGGAGATTTAAAAAAAGCCCATTTGGGAAAAACATCTCTCCCTTTTACCTCCTCCCTCCCCACTCTGCACTGGTTCAGCCTTCCAAAGTCAGAGTCTGCTGAGCCAGAAGTAGATCCCAAAAGGCACCCTGATCCATTCTCCTGGCCTTGGAGAGGGAACAAATAAGCTACTGGCTCCCCTAAGCCAGGAAATCAGGATTGGCACAGCTCCTTTGCTAGGCACAGGCATAAGAGGTCCACAGACTTGGAGTGCCTTACACCCCTGTATAGACTTGTGGGGACCCATTTCAACAGCGTAAGCCCTTACTACCACAGTACAACAGGGTAAACATCTGAAGTCTAACTTCAACTGTTTCAGCTGTGAAGTGGCAGATTTGTGACCCTCGGCACAACCCTGCCCCTTAAGCAGGCACCATTACCGATCCGCACCAGGGGCTTGAGGACTGATGGCTTCACCTACGCATCCTAGTCACCTGCTACAGGAGTCCAAGAAAAAGTGGTGCCCTTGAGTCTTTACAGCCAACAGAGCGGGGTACTCATAGTCCAGCTGCAAAACTCACCTACCTACTTGCCCCAGGGAATAGGGACACACTTTCCTTTCAGACTCTTAGGGGCAGCCATCAGCCCCCTGCCTGGCTCAGCGTGTGACCCCCTAATGAAGCCAGATACCAGTGCCTACACCAGTCACCCATTCCTCTCTAAGACTGTAGGTGAGAGCCTGCACCACACACTTGGTGACCGACTGCCTGGACACTTGGGCTGAACCCATATAGGAAAATGTAATGGAACGAAGAACTCCAAAGACACAAGGAAAGAATTAGCCTAAAAGACAGAATGGGCCGCATAAACCAGAGACTTCATCTGCCTGAGACCAGAAGAACTAGATGGTGCCCAGCTACCACCATTGACCGTCTTGACAGGGAACACAACAGAGAATCTGTGATGGAGCAGCAGAAAGATGGGGTGCAGAACTCAAATTCTAGTAAGAAGACCACACTTAAGAGTCTGAGACTGGAGGTACCTCGGAAAGCATGACCCCTGGACTCTCTGTCAGCCCAGAACTAAAACAATTTCTGAGGCCAACTCTTCAGACAGGAATTGGACTGGACTGTGGGACATAAAGTGATACTCGTGAAGAGTGTGCCTCTTAGTCAAGTAGATACAAGAGACCAAAGGGGCAGCTTCCTTCTAGAGGTGAGATTGGAAGGCAGAGAGGGTTAGGAGCTGGTTGAATGGTCATGGGGAATGAGGGGCGGAAAGGAGGAGTGTGCTGTCGCAGAATGGGGTGAGCAATTAGGGTCACATTACAATGTATGTATAAAATTTTGTACGGGAGACTAACATGAAATGTAAACTTCATTTAACTACAAAAAGAAAAAAGAAAAAAGATGGTACTGAAGGAAGAAGTCCAAGCTGCACTGAAGGTATTGGCAAAAAAACAAGGCTCCAGGAATTGACAGAATACCAACTGAGATGTTTCAACAAACGGATGCAGCACTGGAAGTGCTCACTCATCTATGCCAAGAAATTTGGAAGACAGCTACTGGCCAAGAGACTGGAAGAGATCCATATTTATGTCTATTCCCAAGAAAGAGTGATCCAATCAAATGTGAAAATTATTGTTGATTCATTAGCATTTAACCCATAGCCAATAGCACTATAACTCATGCCTGAACAAAGCTTATCTAACACAATTATTTTCTCCTTAAGGCACATCACAGCTTTCTTGAGCTTAGAAACACTAGAGAACATATCAGCTCTACGCTTATTGGTCATTTTAAACAGAAAAATCACCAAGAAAAAAACACAAATATGAAAAAAAAAGTCAAAAACTTCTAAAAAAGGACACTTGTTTTATTGTTTGAGAGCTGAAACAAGAACTCAGACCCCTCAGCTGGGAATATGCATGTTAGGCAATTCAAATTTTTTGCTACTCTGCGCATGTCTGTGAATAACTGTGAAAGCGAGGAGTTAAAAAAAAAAAGAGTTGCTGTGGAGTCAGCTCGATCTGATGGCAATGGACCCTAGATGTGTCAGAGTAGAACTGTGTTCCATAGGGTTTTCAGTGACTGATTCTTTGGAAGTAAACAGCCAGGACTTTCTTCTGAGGCCCCTCTGGGTGGACCTGAACCACCAACCTTTCAGTTAGCAGCCAAGTGCATTAACTGTTTGCACTACCCAAGTAGGTGAATTCATGAATACAGAATCTGTGAGAAATGAAGACTGACGGCAATATATTCTTCATAGAAAAAGTGCGAGGGAGGTAGACAGGGACAGCAGTGTTAAAGCTTTTTTCTTAATGATTCCTCCTATTAGCCTAAATGGTGATATATCAACAAGCATGTTGAGAAGTCATTCACCTCTTAACGAGATTTATAGGATCTGTCTTAAGCCTTACTACAAAATAAAAAGGGAATAATTTGACAAAATGCTAAAAATAGAAATAAGAAAGTGACATCTGAAATAAATCTTAAAATGCAGGAAGTGTTTTCCATGAATAAGCAAAGTAAATATTCCCCAAATGAGTCAAATACATTATCATTAATAAATGATTGCATATCTGAAATGAAACATACATCACTATTAATAGCCTAAGAAAAATAACATTTCAACAACTTAGAAATCAAACCCTACACTGCTATTGACAGTCATGGTGATAAACAAGTGCAGTACAACAGAATGTTGAGAGCTATTTATATATTTTAAAGCAGTTCCCATTCTTTCAATAAAACTAATGACATAACACCAAGGGCATTGAATTATCATAGTCATCGTTTCACAGAGTAAAATACCAACACAGGGTAACAGGTTTCTGAAAAGATTCACCACTGTATTTACAAATTTTAATTTAAACCTTATAATGCAGAAGAAAAGCACAAAAGAAATCTTGGAATAAAAGCTAAATTTTAGTTTTTCTTTTCTAAAGTTAAAAAAAAAGACATTGAAACCCTGAATAACACTTATATTAATAAACACAAGAACATGCCAAGAATTCATCCTATCAGCAGATATGAATTCCGTCGTAATGAAATTTGCTTATCAATATCCCACTTTTTAATCAGATTCTCAATTATGAGGAGCACTTCCAGTTGCTTTGTCTTGTCTTATGAGAGTGTTGGTTTAGACACAGCCACATCCTTATAATTTGGATCATCCATATAATAGTCATTACCTGTAAAACAACCAAACCACTGGCCAAGGAACATGGGATTAGCAATTCAAGCCCAGTGTAGACTACATTTCCATACACATAATACATGCAGTAATAAAAAGCAGGTATCACAGCAATCCGACCAAGGAAAAACATCACTGTCAGGAGTACTGCATTGATGATGAAAACTTCAGAAGACTGAGAATACATCAGAGTTTCAAAGAACCATCTGGAAAAAAATTAAAGAAACGTATTTATTCTGCATCTCTGAGGTTTAATCATTTCAGTTTTAGTTTTTAAAACTCTGTGAACATCCCCCTACGATCAGAAACATGGCAAGGATATCCTGTCTCACTAATCCTATTCAATATTGTACTGGAAGTCCTAGCTAGTGCAATAAGACAAGAAAAAGAAACAAAAGGTATACAGATTGAGAGGGAAGAAATAAAACCATCTATATTTGCAGATGACGTAACTGTCTATGTAGAAAACAAGAAAGAATCTACAAAAAATAATAATAATATCCTGGATCTAATAGGAAGTACAGCTAAGTTGCACAACACAAGGTCAATATAGAAAAGTCAGTTGCTTGCTTATATATAAGCAGTGAGCATTTAGAAGATGAAATTTTAAAAAATATCATTTACAATAGCACTAAAAAATAAAATACTCAGGTATAAATTTAATAAATTATGTACAGAATCTACCTGCAGAAAACTATAAACACTGATGAAAAATCAAAGAAAGTCTAAATATATAGACTGATATTTATATTCATGAATTGGAAAAGTCAATACTGTTAAAATGTTAATTCTGCTCAATTAGATCTATAGATTCAATTCAATCCCAAACAAAATCCCAGCCATATTTTTTGTAACATCAAACCCAAATCCGTTGCCATCTAGTCGATTCCGACTCATAGCGACCATATACGACAGATTAGAGCTACCCCATAGTATTTCCAAGGAGCAGCTGGTGGATTCAAACTGCTAACTTTCTGGTCTGCAGCTATAGCTCTTAACCACTCTGCCACCAAGGCTCCTTTTTTAAACATATATATATATCTATATATAACTTATCTAAAATTGCTATGGAAAGAGAAAGGACCCAGAACAGCCAACACAATACTGGAAAAGAACAAAGCTCTACCCACTTTCAAGACCTACTCTAAAGCTATTTTAATCAAGACAGCGTGGTATTGGAAAAAGAATAGACAAATAGATCAGTGGAACTGAACAGAGAGCCTAGAAATAGGCCCACACAAATATACTCAACTGATTTTGGCAAAGGCGTGAAGGCAATTCAATTGAGAAAGGCCAATCTAATAGTATTTTCAATAAATGGTGCTGGCAAAATTGGATGTCCGTATGCAAAAAAAAAATGACCAACAGAAAAAAAAAAAAATGAATCAAGGCAGTGAGCTCACACCTTACACAAAAAATTAACTCAAAGCAGATCTTAGACCTAAATGTAAAATGCAAAACTATAAAACCTCTAGAAGAAAACAGAGGAGAAAATCTGCATGATCTTGGGTTTGGTGATGATACTTCAGAATCAACACAAAATCAACACTCATAGAAGAAAATTTTGATAAATTAAAACTTGCTCTGTGAAAGACACTGTTAACAGAATGAAAAGACAACCACGGATTGGGATAAAATATTAACAAAACACACCTGATAAAGTACTTGAATTCAAAATATATAAAGAACTTTTAAAACTCAAAAGAAGAACACAAATAGTCCCATTAAAACATAGGCAAAATATCTGAACAAATACCTCATCAGGGATGACATATAGGTGGAAAATAAGCATATGAAAAGATGCTCAGGACTCCTTGAGACTACCGCCCTGAGATACTCTGTAAGCCTTGAACTGAAACTATCCCAAGGTCACCTTTTAGCGAAATAACAGATTGGCACACAAAATAAAGGATATTACCCTTGAGTATGGGGCTGCATTAAAAACTCATCTATAAGAGACCAAAAGGTCAACAATTACTCTAAAGCAAAAATGATAAGACACAGGGGGCAGGGAACCTATAGTACTGGAAACAGAACAACCAGAACAGAGTTAAAGAGAATGTTGACACATTGTGAAAAATGTAACTAATGTCACTGAACAACTTGTGTAGAAATCGTCAGATAGTAACCTAATTTGCAATGTAAACTTTCACTGAAAACACAATAAAATATTTTTTTTTAAAAATATGCTCAACATCATTTGTTGTTATAAGAAAATGCAAATGAAAACAACGAGATACAACTACACACCTATTTGAACGGCTAAAATCCAAAAAACTGACAATATCAACTGCTAACCAGGACATGGACCAACAGGAATGCTCATTCATTGATGGTGGGAACGCAAAATGTTACAGTCACTTTAGAAGACAGTTTGGCCATTATAAAGTTAAACATATTCATAGGAAACAATCCAGCAATCATGCTTCTAGTTATTTTTCCAACTAAATTGAAAACACTTTCACATTGATAACCTTCATGCAAAAGTTTATAAAAGCTTAATTTATAATTGCAAAAAACTGGAAGCAGCCAACATGTCTTTCAACAGGTGAATGGATAAACAAATTGTAGTACATCTATACAACAGAATATTATTCAGCAATAAAAAGAAATGAATTATCAAGCCATGAAAAGACATGGATGAATCTGAAATGCATACTGTTAAATGCAAGAAGCCAGTCTGAAAATGCTACCTACTGTGTGATTCCATTTACATGACATTCTGGAAACAAACAAAACTATAAAGACAGAAAACAGATCAGTGGTTCTCAGGGGTTTAAGTGGAAGGGAGAAGGAATGACTAGGTGAAGCACAGGGGATATTTTAGGGGCGGAAACTGTCCATCTCTGGTTTCAAGTCCTCTCTTATGTTCCAATTTTAGTTCCATATTGCTAATTTCTTGCTGGTCGTTTTCACCTGACAAATCACAAATTCTCAAATATGCCCAAAACCAATACTCTACTCCTTATCCAATCTCTTCTACTCCTTTACCATCTTGGTAGAAAACTGTTTCTCTTCTGATCTTCCCAATCCTTATCAATGAGATCACCATCAATATACTCACCCCAGACTATTGCTACCTGTATTCTATTTTTAGTTTCTAGTTTTAACCAAGACCTCTCCATTTTACCTCCTAAAATTCTTTCTAATCCTCCCCTGATTCATTCCATTCCAACTGCTACCACTAAAATTTTTGGTTCTCAGCATCTCTTACGTGGATGACTACAATAACCTAACTGGTCTTCCTGACTCTACCTTTATAGCCTCTTCTCTTCAATATCACAAGTTCTATACTTTACTGAATCCAGACTACTTCCTGTTCTCCAGCTAGGTCACACACTTTCCAAATTCTTGGTTGTCTGGAAAGGTGATTATCTACAAAACCAGACTTAAAGGACTTGTCCTTTGGTTTTACTATGTAATCAGTTTGTTCTCCTTCTGCCAATTTTTCCATCTGAACAGTACAGTCTGTAAGCCAGTCTCTTTCAAAGGTAAGAACCTCTATATTACTTCAAGGTGAAATATTTAAATAATTGTCCTCCTTACCCTCCTGTCCCATGTCAGAAGGACCACTGACTTAGTTGGAATCCATCTTTCGTTACTTAATGAAAACACTCGTTCATGCAAACAAAGGCTAAGAGTTTGTGAAGATATGTATTGAAGCTGAGAGGGAAGGGGGCAGGGAAGGAACAGGAGGACATGCATATGGGAAGGAAGGACAGAGGGACCACACTCCCTTTGACCTATCATCTATAGTTTTTACTGAGTCCCTGGGTGATGCAAATGGTTACCTGCTCGACTGCTAGTCAAAAGGTTTCCAGTTTGAACCCACCCAGAAGTGCCTCAAAAGACATGCTTAGTGATCTGCTTCCAAAAGGTCACAGCCTTGAAAATGCTATGGAACAGTCCTACTCTGCACACATGGAGTCGCCATGAGTCAGAATTGACTTGACAGCAAATAACAACAGCGTAGTTATTAATAAGATACGTATAAAAGACTGCAAATTATATGTATTTGCAATCCTCCCCTCAGGCCCCTAGAGAAAATTCTGTCTTGCTTATTTAACATTCCTTCCTCTCCCTGGTCTTCTAAGGAAATGGAACTTTTCATTTTAGATTCTGGGACTTAATTGTGCAAAAGTGTGGTAGCCACTAAAATAGTTAAAAAACTACAAGGAATCATTTGGTCTGATTCACATTTGGAAAAGACGGGGGGGAGGGGCTGCTTGTTGGTAGAGAAAGAAAAAGTGAGAAAAGGGGATGAGGCGCAAAGAATCAATTCCTGCATGGTGCTGGTTTCATGAGTTTGAGGAGTTTGGAGTTGACAGACAGAAGTTTGAGAGAGTCTGGGGAAGCAGTGGGATCCAGGAGATATTGTGAGTAAGAGAAATGAAGGGACGTTTTAAGAAGTGTTGCTGTGTATAACAAACTGGATCCTTGTTGACATCCTTGGAGAAACTCCAGTGAGGAATTTGATGCTGGACTGTTTCTGCAACTCAACACAGGGACTGGGTCATGAGCTGACCCTAGTTATATCTTGGCTGCAAATGTAATTGTTTCAGACTTGTAAACATTTCTATTTAATAAATATTAACCTTGGAAAGTTCAGGACCTTAGTTTTAGAAAAGTGGCCCTCCACGCCGTCATTATCTTGGTTCCCCTCCTACTTCTAAACTACTCTTTCATTGTATCTACTCTTCCTTCTCCTATTTCCCAATTCTAGACACTCAATTTTATCTTTTAAATACCATCTTTACTCATGGTTTCAAATAGCTCCTCTATTCTAATTATTCCAAAATTCCTCTCTCTAGCTCTTAGTATTATTTCTACTCAGGTGCTCTGTCCTTTTACCCAGCATCTCCAAACCAAACTCAAGACTTTCTCTTCTAGTCTTCCTAATTCCCCACATCTTTGTGTGTGTGCGCGCGCTCAATGTAAGGTATGCATGTATGTATGTATGTATTGGTTTAATTAGTTACTCATTTTAGAGAGTTCTAAAGCTGAAAGAGGAGCCTTGGTGTTACAGTGGTTAAGAGCTACTGCTGCTGACCAAAGGGTCAGCATTTCAAATCCACCAGCGGCTCCTTGGAAACCCCACAGGGCAGTCCTCCTCTGTCCTATAGGATTGCTATGAGTTGGAACCGACTCGATGACACCTAACAATAACAGCAAAGCTGAAAGAGGTCTTTAGGAGAACTGAGTCATCTGGTTCCACTGGCAGGTAGCTGCAACAAAATAACCGGGGGTTGCTTGGCCCGAACATAAATTCTTTGGTTTTCCCCATTACTAATGAATCAACTCTCATATTTACATTTTTAAAAACCTTTCCAAAAGATTTTTATAAGCAGTTTGTTTTGTGAAATAACACCTCTTCCACCCAATATTCTAATGCTCAAATCCATCTTTCAACAACCCCATTCTGTTCAGATGTCTTCAGTGACGGTGAAATCACTATCTCTTGAAGTAGACCTGTCTTTTAATGGGCTTATCCTTATGGATTCAATGTAGAAATTACCTTCAACCTTTCCCTTTTCTCTATCTCAATTTTTTTTATCCATTGCCAATTTACTTTTTCTTCCTTCAAAATGTCTACTCTGGCATCTTCTCTCAATTCCCAAAGCCTAATCTGGACGCTTATTTGTTTTCATTCATTCATGCTGGATGCTAACCTGCTAACCCAAGCTTTTCCTTTCATTCTTACCCCACTACGATCTATTCTACACATACCAGAAATTAGAATTATGCAATGCTATTTTCAGAATGTCTGTCCCACTGTAATATATATTCACTACTGGATCAAGTTCAAACAGTTCTTCCTGGCACTTAACATTCTCTATGGTTACCCATCCTCTCCCTAAGACATACTCTTTGATACTGCAAGGCTACTCACTTTTTCTTACTGACAACAAGTTTACTCCACTTTTCAAAAACCTGTGTTCATTATTTTCTCCTTATATATAAGGCCTCCCTTCCCCATCCACTTCTTACAAAGTCCTGAAAGATTTTAAGAATATGTCCTACCTTCTCTGTGAAGCTTTGCATGAGAAACATCGATCAATAATAATCTCTCCTCTTCCCAAGAGCTCACAGCAATTAGTTTATGCCAGCAGGTTTCAAACTGTGGTTCATGGACCCATAAGATCTTTTCACGAGGTCCACGAGGTCCACAAGGTCAAAACAATTTTCATGACACAAAAATGGGATTTGCCTTTTTCATTGTATTGACGTTTGCGCTGATGTGCAAAAGCAATGGTGGATAAAACTGCCGGTGTCGTATACAAATCAAGGCAACGGCACCAAATGGTACTGATAGTCATTGTACTCTCTGATCTCCACACACTTGCAGTTAAAAGGACCAAAAGGAAGAAAAAACTTAAGAATGTTCTTGGTGAAAGAGTAAGAATTATTAATTTTATTAAATCATAACCTTTGAGTACACATCTTTTAATATTCTTCCTGACGAAAAAGAATTACACAAAGAAATGATGGTAGGACCTAGCAATGGGCCAAATATAGGTGAGGCAGAAACAGTCAAAGATGCTCCCCAGGTGTCCAGCAGGGGTAACCGAGTGGACAACTGGGCCACAGACTGAACAAGAGAATACAAGAAGAGGATACAGAGGGAAGCATGTTGCCTTCTATCTGAAAAACTCAAAACCAAACCTGTTCCCGTCAAGTCAGTTCTGACTCATAGACAATGTACAGGACACAGGGTTTCTAAGGCTGTAATCTTTACTGGAGCAGACTGCTGTATCTTTCTCCCGCAGAAAGGCTAGTGTGTTCAAACCACCAGCCTTTCCATTAGCAGCCAAACACTTAACCACTGCGCCACCAGGGCTCTTTCACATTCTGTTTTAGACATGTTGAATTTGATGTGCCAGCTGAGAGGAGAAAACACTTGACTATAATACTAAGAGGTAGATAATATTAATATGAGAGCCCTGGTTCACAGTGGTTAAGCCCTTGGCTGCTAACCAAATGTAGGAGGTTCGAACCCACTAGCTACCTGGGGGAAAAATATGTGGCAGTCAGCTTCCATAAATATTACAGAGTTGGAAACTGTAGGGCAGTTCTACTCTGTCCTATAGAGTCACTATGAGTCAGAATCTACTTGATGGCAAACGACATTAATATGCTGCTTCTTTTTTTTTTTTAAGAGAGAAAGAAATTGTGGTACAGAAATGTTAAGTAACTTGCCCAAGGCCATAGAAAGTGACAAAGTTAAATTCTAACTCCAGTCTATCTGATTCCAAAACTCATGCACAGTCCATTACAGCAACATCAGCAAATAGGTGATAGCTTGAAACCTTGGGAGTGGAAGAACTCCTCCCAGGAGAGAGTGAGTGGCCCAGAAGAAAGCCCTGGGGAGTATAATCATCTAACAAACTGTCGCCTAAGAGGGGATGTTCAGGAAAATGGAAGGAGAATGACGCGAGGGCAATGCCATGAAAGGAAGGGGAGTGCAGCATTAGAAGAAGGGTGTGACCAACAGCATCAGGTCCTAAGACAGGCACCACCGACAGCTCACTGGATTTTGAAACTGGAAGTTGCTGGTGCCTTTAGTGATCACAGTTTCAACAGATTGGCAGAGGCAGAAGCCTAATTACAGTGGGTTGACGAGCAAGGAGGATATGGTAAAATAGAAAAGCAAATATAAACTATGCACTTTCAGTGTTTACTAGGTTTTAGCGTACTGAATATATGTTAGATTTAGCACTTATTGAATATATACTGAATGACAAACATTATACTGGGTGATTTACATATATAATCTCATTTTATCTTCAAAACAACCTATGAGACCTGTAAGTATCATCTTATCAATTTTATAGCTGTGAAAACTGACACTCAGGGAGGTTAAACAATCTTCCATCACACACAGTGGTAAGTGGGAGAGTTTGAATTTGATCCAAGTCTTCAGACTTCAAAGAAGATGCTCTTTGTCTTTATACTCACGCTTTCCCATTACCAGAGTTTTTGAGGATTGTAGAAGAGTTATTTAAAAATGTTTTTAAAACTGGGCTCAAGCCCTAGGAACTGATTATATTCTTGAAGACATAAGATTACAATATATGAAACAACAGCAAACAAAGCAAGTGAGTGTAGAAGTACCAGGAAAGAAAGTGTTATGAAGCAGATCTGCAATCCATTCTCTCCTATTTGGGGTGGAAGGATGACCTCCTAAGCAAGAAAAAAGATGAGTGATTCAGGCTAATCTCCTGGTAAGCATATTAATAACAGATCTCCTGGGAGACTAATGATATTTGTAGCAGGAGAGTCTTCATCCATGGATTGCTTCCAGCAGGATATACCTAGCCTAGGATTGGTTATGTTAAACAAAGCTGGAATGTATGCATTTAAGCTATGTAACTATCTGAGTATGAAATGGAGAAGCTTTATAACCTGTGTCAGAGGTGTGAACTGCACACATCGCTTAGAGTCCACATAGTAATCGTGCTGCAGAAGGTGCTCAATGCAGAAGGGACCTAGGGAGCCATACTGATGGTCCTGAGCCTCTCCCTGGTTTGCCCATCCCTCATGGTTACCTGGATCCTTTAAATCATTAGTAAAGCTTGATACATGGTAGGCTTGCTAACTCATATGAGTCTAATTGACACTCCCAATCCTCTGTGTTATCCCTGTACTAAATCATGAAATATCAACCCTTCCCCACTGTTATGGATGGAATTGTGCCCCCCCTCAAATATGTGATGGAATCCTAACCCCTGTACCTCTGGATGTAATCCCATTTGGGAATAGAGTTTTCCTTATTATGTTAATGAAGCCACACAAGTGTAGAGTGGGTCCTAAACCTACTCACTTCTGAGTTATAAAAAGAGCAGATCAGACACAGAAGCAGGCACGTACTAAGGAAGAAAGATGCCATGTAAGGATCGCCAAGAACCAAAGAACCCCCATGGCTAACAACAAGGAAGGAATTGACATGGTCAAGACCCTGGTTTGGACTTTTAGCCTACAGAACTGTGAGAAAATAAATTTCTATTGTTTAAAGCTATCCATTTGTGGTATTTCTGTTATACCAGCATAGCTAACTAAGACACCTTGGTTTTGGATTTTGAACTAAGGCTTGAATGGCAAGTAAATTTTTCAAAGATAGAGGGGAAATGGAGGCTGTGAATAAAAGGAAGAAAGGCAAGAACAACCCACAGGTGCATGGGACAGTAAGAGTACAAACCTGACTCTAACGAGTGGTAAATAAAGGTGGAGACACAGGGTAGGAGCACATCACAGAGAACTTGGAAAGTCAGAGAGAGGAGTCTAAGCAGAATGCAGGGGTGGTTTTTGTAAAAAACAATAAGGTACTCACAGTGGAACATGAGAAATACTACTCTGATTGCACTCTGAGGAAAGCATTCCGGATGAGGTTACTCTGGAATTAGGGAAATTAGTTAAAGGTATTGCGGTAATCAAACCTGGCAGATTCTGAAAGCCCTGAACTAGGACCATGTCAGTAGATACGGAGAGAAAGGAACAGTTAAACATCTCACAGGAAAAAAAAAAAAAAAAAAAAAAAACAACAGCTGACCTTGTTAAATGACAAGATCAGGGCAATAAAGGTTAAGGATAAATCCATTGTCAAAGCGAGCACCTACTTCCCTCCAGGAGGTGGAGCTTAATTTCCTCCCTTGACAGTAGGCTAGACTTCATGACTTGCTTTCAAATGGAGTAGGGAAAGGGGAAATCTTTGCAGTGGAGAAACCTGGCAGACACTATCTGAACCAAGTGATAAAGATTAACATCACCAGTGATGTCATGTTATCCCTGACAGGATATGACAAGAAGAGTACTTCACCTGTGTGGTTTTCATTCCAAAAAACCAATACCCTCCAACTAATCATGAAAAGGAAACCCTGGTGGAGTGGTGGTTAAGTGCTATGGCTGCTAACCAAAAAGTCGGCAGTTCGAATCCACCAGATGCTCCTTCGAAACTCTATGGGGCAGTTCTACTCTGTCCTATAGAGTCGCTATGAGTTGGAATCGACTCAATGGCAAGGTGTTTAATTATGAGTAAAACATCAGAAAAACCCAGATTAGGGGACATTCTACAGGACACCTGTCTAGTACTCCTTAATGCTGACAAGGCCAAGGAAAGAGTAGGAATATGTCACAAACCCAGAGGAGACTGGGCAGACATGACAACTAAATGTAATGTGGCACCCTGGATTATATCCTGGAACAGAAGGAGGACACTAGTGGAAAAACTGATGCAATCCAGTGAAGTCTCGAGTTTAGTTAATAGTAATGTATCAATGCTGGTTTCTTAGTTTTGACAACTGTACCATGGCAATGCAAGATGTCAAAAACAGGGGAAACTAGGTGAGGGGTATATGGGAACTCTCTGTGCTAACTTCACAACTTTTTTGTATATCTAAAATAAAAAGTTTTTTTTTAAAAAACGAAGGACTAAGAGAATGTTGACATCAGAATTTGGGACAGGAGGAAGTTGAATTCAGGAATATGAATGACCCCAGGATGAACTAGAGTACATTATGCTTTTTTCCATGAAGAACGCCACCGAATCCTAAGATTCAGGGAACATAGTTCATCCTGCAGCATATATTATAGGGGTATAAGAATGCCGTCTTAGTTATCTAGTGCTTCTATAACAGAAATACCACAAGTGGATGGCTTTAAAAAAAAACAGAAACTGATTCTCTCACAATTTAGGAGGATAGAAGTCCAAATGCAGGGTGTCAGCTCCAGGGGAAGTCTTTTTCTCTGTCAGCTCTGAGGGAAGGTCCTTGTCATCAATCTTCCCCTGGTCCAGGAGTTCCCCAGCACAGGGACGCTAGGTCCAAAGGACATGCTCCACTCCTGGTGCTTCTTGTTTGGTGATGATGAGGTCCCTCTCCTCTCTGCTTGCTTGTCTTTTGTCCCTCCAAAGAGACTGACTCAAGCTACAACCTAATCCTGGGGATTGGGTCCTGCCTCATTAGTATAACTGCCTGTAATCCTGTCTTATTAAAATCATAGAGGTTAAGATTTACAACACATATGACAATTACATCAAATCCCAAAATGGAGGACAACTGCACAATACAGGGAATCATGGCTTAGCCAAGCTGGGGTAATTTTGGGAGGACATAATTCAATCCATAACAAATGCCCTGGAAGAAAGAATAATAAAGCATTGTCATGCTGCAAAGACAGGTGGGTTAAAAGGCTAGCATCACCACTTACTAGCTAGGGAGTCTGAAAAGTTTACTCTAGCCTTTCCAAGCCTCAGCTTCCTCATTTGCACAATGGTGGTAATAATTCATATCATGTATGTTCATTTTTTATATAGTAGCTTTAGGATCATTAAAAAAATCTTTCTCCGAACTGAAAATAAACAGTACAACTTTAATTAATGATATCAGTAACCTACTGCTGATTCCAAAATGGGATGTCAAGCTCTGTTATCAGACGAAAATTCCCAACGTATGCCAGTGTTGCTTCATTCTGGAAAAAAAACTTAGAACAAAATATCAGCAAGAACATTCGTATCCAAAACTCCAAATATTGAAGAAACACTCAATAGCTTCTCAGCATCAAATGACATTTTTAATATCAAAACAAACTGAGGAGCTTTTTACCTTCTACAGCCAAACAGATTATATATTCTGTTTGAGGATTTAGAAATATAGTTGGTATCCTATAGCATTTTTAAAACATGGCATATTGTACACAGTATTCACTTAAATAAACAGGTTGCAAACAGTTGTCTCAAGTTGAACTAATGAGTGCTGCAAATAACCATTAGTAATATTAGTAATAATTATTCATGTTCACAAATATGAAGATCTAAGGATGTTCACTCAGAGTTATACATAACAATGAAACTTAGAACAAAGAAACACATAAAAATAGGGAAGTGGCTAAATATATTACATATCTATATGCCACCAAGAGATACAATGATGGATTCAGATAGTGTGAGAATAAAAAACAATTGCAGAACTTGCAAAAATGACTGAGCTTACAGCCTTCACACCCTTTCTTAGGAAATTATTTGAGGATAGGCTGCCAAAAAACGAGTGAGTAAACCAAGAAAGTTAAAGACATGGGATCCAGGAAACAAAATCTCCAACCCAGGAGAGTAATGAAATGAAGCACCAGGCCCTTGGGCAGCAGACCTAGGCAGCAGCCTGTTTAGACTGGAGCAAGAGGATGGAGAGCCTGGAGAATAGGAATGTGAGAAAAGATATTTCAGAGCTTTGATACTGTCCTTGAGAAATCGAGCAACTCAAATATGTTATAAAGGCAGATAACGCAAGAAAATTTAAAAGGCAATTAGAAACTCTAGCAATTAGATAGGAAATGCAATCCTGGTTGTGAAACAAACCTATTTTAATATAATCAAAATCAACCCTTTACTAACTTTACACCATGGCTTGAGTCAGGTGCACCTTAGTCCTTAGAGTGGCATCTTTGCTTTTTAACACTTTAAAGAGATCTTTTGCAGTACATTTGCCCAATGCAATACATTGTTTGATTTCTTGTCTGCTGCTTCCATGAGTGTTGATTGTGGATCCAAGTAAAACGAAATCCTTGACAACTTCAATGTTTTCTCAGTTTTTCATGATGTTGCTTATTGGTCCATTTGTAAGGATTTTTGTTTTCTTTATATTGAGGTGTAATCCGTACTGAAGGCTGTGGTCTTTGATCTTCATCAGTAAGTGCTTCAAGTCCTCTTCACTTTCAGCAAACAATTTTGTTTCACCTGCATAACACAGGTTGCTAATGAGTCTTCCTCTAATCCTGATGCCGCGTTCGTCTTCATATACTCCAGCTTCTCAGATTATTTGCTCAGCATATAGATTGAATAAGTATGATGAAAGTATACAACCCTGACCCACACCCTTCCTGACTTTAAACCATGCTTGTTCTGTTCGAACAACTGCCTCTTGATCTATGTACAGGTTCCTCATGAACTCATTAAGTGTTCAGAGATTCCTATTCTTCGCAATGTTAATCCGTAATTTGTTATGATCCACACAGTCCAATGCGTTCTCATAGTCAATAAAACACTGGTAAACATCTTTCTGGTATTCGCTTCTTTCAGCCAGGATCCATCTGACATCAGCAATGATATCCCTGGTTCTACGTCCTCTTGTAAATCCTCCTTGAATTTTTGGCAGTTCCCCGTTGATGAGTACAGCTACAGACGCTTTTGAGTGATCCTCAGCAGAATTTTATTTGCCTGTGATATTAATGATATTTCTCAATAATTTCTGCATTTGGTTGGATCACCTTTCTTCGGAATAGGCATACATATGGATCTCTACCAGTCAGTTGGTGGGGTAGCTGTCTTCCAAACTTCTTGGCATAGATGAGTGAGCACTTCCAGCACTGCATTCGTTTGCTGAAACATGTTAACTGGTATTCTGTCAATTCCTGGATCCTTGTTATTAGTCAATCCCTTAAGCTCAGCCTGGACTTCTTCCTTCAGTACCATCAATTCCTGATCATATGCTACCTCCTGAAATGGTTGAATGACAACCAGTTCTTTTTAGTAAAGTGACTCTTTATACCTTCCATCTTGTTTTGTTTAGTCTTTAATTTCTCTTAATAATGATTTGTGGTGTTTAGGGTAAAAATCTTGCACATAAAAATCTTGCACATCTTTTGTTAAATTTATTCCTAGGTACTTAATGTTTTTTGATGCTATTGTAAAGATATCTTTTTCTTACCTTTGTTCTGTTTGTTGTTGGCATATAAAAATACAATTGATTTTTGTATATATATATATATAAAAAGGTACAGATAATTTGCTTTTATTCTTCACTTGACTTTTCTTTAGTTGCAATTACAAAATCTTCTTTTAAGGAAAAAGCTTACTACAAATAGCCTAAAGAATTATTGGAGTAAGTATCAAGTCAAAGTGCTTTCCAAATACCAGTTCGTGTTCTATACGTGACAAGGATTTCATCATGGTTTGCAGAATTATTTTGTTAGGCTTACCTAGAATAAAAAAATGCACAAAGGGACCTAGGGAGTCACTGCCTGAAAAATCCAGTAAACGTAGGGTCTGAAAATAGATACAACACAGAATTTCTTTGCATGGAATCATTCATCATTTCATCTAATTTTTTCTATTTTGGTTCCCTGCGAGTAGCTTCACTTTAATTAGATAAATTTATTTCATACTAAAACAACAAAACACAGGAAAGCACCAAAGAAGCAACAGCCATCTTTAAACAAAAAAAATAAATAAAATGCTGTTGATTTCCTTTACTTATCAATTTTACTAACTAAGGCAACACTTAATTTCTTTTTTAAAAATCCAACATATATTTTATTGGTTTTTAAAAAAGCATAAAAATCAAAAGAGAAAGAAAATATTCATCCCACATAATTAAACATTCAACTTGCCAGTCCATTTACTAAGCCTGTGATTTCGGTGGCCAACAGAGAACAGCAATCATAATATTCACATTTAAAAAAGTGTGTAAGTAATTTGTTATCTTTCACCAGCTTATACTCTTTTCATAACACATTGATTGTGTGACTCATGTTCCGAGAACATATTTCTAAGTTACAGTCTGAGATTAAACTCACCTGGCTACCTATACACATTCTTTCCAGAGTCACCTGTATTTTGTTAGTTTGCACCCTTTTTTAGAAAGAGTACTTAAGAAACAAAGTGCCCATATACCAAGTATCTAAGACCTATAAAAGGAAGAAGTCTTTTGATTCATCTTAAACTAGTACCATATTAATGGCTATGACATTTAAGAAAATAGTAAAAATCTTGAACTTGCCATAGGATCAGAAAATATTTTCTTAGGTTTTCTGAAAGGATATTTCCTATTGTCATCATCAGAATTTCAAACTAAGAAGCTATATTTTTAACTATCTACTATCTATTAAAATTTAAAAAAAAGAAGGTGAAGGAATGAACAGTAGGAAATGCCACAAAAAATAGCCTATTTCTTCAGAAAAATAAAGGGATTATGGATGTCTTTTTAGGGGTACAGAAGCACTTATTTTTATACATTAAAGCCCACATAGTTTTTAAAACATTTATGTTATTTAAACTTGTGACTTCAAATGGGTTGATGTGGAGAGATGCTTTGATATAGCTGATTCTTGCAGAAATAATGACAAATTAGCTTCTGAGTCACTATCTTCGTGGGAGTCAACATTAAGAAAAATAGAAAAATATTAATACACATTTGTATGAATGTTTTTTAAATCCTCAAATAGCCACAAATATGCAGTAATGCAAGGATTTTAGTAATACCTAACAAAGAAAAGAAATAGCCAGAAATTACATTTAAATTTTAAAACTTGGACTTTTATGTCATGTCTATTACTTAAAATTTATAAAATTCTCATTTACATACATGTATTACTTCCCAATATATATTTTCAGATTGGTAGTATATATAGGTTGAAAACTAATTGATTATCAAGAAACCAAACAAACATGCAAGGGATATAAAATTGCTAGTTTACAAAAGTATATGTAGAAAAATAGTTTTAGATATAGAATTTAATATGCTTTACTGCCTGAGATTTACTGTGAGAATCCTCTTTAAGCTCAGTCCTGAAATTCTGATGAAGTCTCTGAGCAAGACACTCCCATTGCTGCAACCCACTTAACTAATGAACATGTAAATTAAGCAGAAAAGAAATAATTTAACTGGTTATACAGGAATCTATACCTTCCCCTGACTGCTAAATCATGACTGCATCTAGAAAAACAGACAAAGTCTATTATCTACATAATCCTCAAAGTTTTAAGCAAAAATTCAAAATATTGGGGTCTTTTGTCTTTCTAAAAATGTATAAATCCAAACAGTCCCAGCAATACGGACACACGTTACTATTTTGTTTAATAAACAAGATAAGATATCACAGAAGTGATCCCTGAATGGGTTTGGAGTTGGTCTTTATAAATTAAGAAATGTATGTTTAGGCTTATGTTCCCCCTGAAGTCACTATACCCAATCTTGTCTGCTTGTTAGGCTATTGCAAAACGGCACTCACCAGGAGAAGGCAGAATATATACAGGACTGCGCAACGGTAAATTACATAAACAATCTCACCAATCATTCTCCAACAGAAAATATGAAGCAACAAATCTGTTAGAAGGAAAAATTAGTAAGATATTACATAGGAAGAAAGCTGCATTGTTACCCAGATGTATTCAACTCTTTCCTCTGGCACTTCATCACTGTCTACTCTAAGCCCGCAGCAGTTTGTTCATACCTCTGCTAGTCCAACATCCCATTTTTTGGTAAAGTATTTGCTTTGATAGAACTGTTCACCCACTATGGAGTTGGGGGGTGTCTTAGTTATCTAGTGCTGCTATAACAGAAATACCATAAGTGGATGGCTTTAACAAAGAGAAATTTATTTCTTCACAGTAAAGTAGGCTAGAAGTCCAAATTCAAGGCGTCAGCTCCAGGGGAAGGCTTTCTGTCGGCTCTGGAGGAAGGTCCTTGTCATCAGTGTTCCCTTGGTCTGGGAGCATCTCAGCGCAGGAACCTCAGTTCCAAAGCATGCACTCTGCTCCCAGAACTTCATTCTTGGTGGTATGAGGTCACCACTCTCTGCTTGCTTCCCTTTCCTTTTATCTCTTATAAGATAAAAAGTGGGGCAGGCCACACTGCAGGGAAACTCCCTTTACATTGGATCAGGGATGTGACCTTAGTAAGGGTGTTACAAACCCACCCTAATCCTCTTTAACATAAAATTACAATCATAAAATGGAGGACGACCACAAAATACTGGGAATCATGGCCTCACCAAGTTGACACATATTTTGGGGGGCCACAATTCAATCCATGACAGGGGGCATTGGTGGTTCAGTGGTAGAATTTTTGCCTTCCATTTGGGGACCCTGGTTCGATTACTAGCCAATGCACCTCATGCTCAGTTACCACCTGTCCATCAGTGGAGGACTGCATGTTGCTATGATGCTGAACGGGTTTCAGCAGAGCTTCCAGACTAAAACAGACTAGGAGGAAAGGCCTGGCAATCTAATTCTAAAAAAGCAGCCAGTGAAAACCCTATGGATTACAATGGTCCCATCCCATTGTGCACGGAGTTAACAGTACATATCTAACAACAAAAATAACAACCACTATACTGTGTTTCCTTCAGGATGACAGCCGAGCTGTAGGCATTTTATACTCGCAGAATCTAGCACCAAACCAAAAACCTGTTGCCATCAAGTCAATTCCAACTCATGGTGACGCGGTGTGTTACAGAGTAGAACCAAGCTCCAAAGGGTTTTCTTGGCTGTAATCTCTGAAGAAGCAGATAAGCAGGGCGTTCTTGGGATGTGCCCCTGGGTGGGTTTGAACCTTCAACCTTTCAGCTAGTAGCAAAGCAAAAACCATTTGTGATACCCAGGGAACCACAGTGTCTGGCATATAAGCATTAAACATAATATTTGTTGAATGAATAAATTGATAACTTATTTCCAGTGTTAAATAAAATGAAAATATTATCAAATAAGAATTTTTTAAAGCTTACATTATTGATTTTAATTATTATATTAATTCAGACAGAGATAAGATGGTGGCAGAAAAGGTGGAAAATGACCAACTGATTTATAAAACAAATTCAACAAAAAATATAGAAAGTAAGCAAAGGAGAAATTAAATGTTAATTTAAAATGGCAACACCACCGCGAGGCCATGACATCGGTTTTTCCTTAAAAGCTCCTGAATCGAAATATCATGATTTAGGAAATATAACGAAACAGAAGAGTCTCAAAATGTCAATGTCACTTTTTATTTTCTGTCTTTTTAACCAACTGGTTAATATGAAATTTGGACAGGGAAACAAATGGCTAACATGGATGGACACCAGGGGGAGGATTCAGGTTTTGTGTGGTCTAAAGCTTATATAAAGTGGGACCTTCTCTTATAAAAATAATAATTTCAAATAAAAAATTAGATATGCATAATTAGAAAATATACCATCAAACTACAAGTGTTAAAGAGAAAAATAAATACCACAAATGTGAAATATCCAGAAAAGTAATAGAACAGCCCTGGTGGTGCAGTGGTTAAGAGCTCAGCTGCTAACCAAAATATTGGCCATTCAAATCCACCAGACACTCCTTGGAAACCCTATGGGGCAGTTCTACTTTGTCCTACAGGGTCACTATGAGTCAGACTCAACTCGACGGCAATGGTTTTTTTTTTTTTTTTAATTGACTGTCTGATATACCTCTCCAAGGACGTTTTCCCTACAGATTTTGCCTGCAAACTCTTTGGTCATCAATTTATATGACGATTTTATAGTATTTTCTGTAGAAGGAATAAAAAGAATTCACTTTTCATTCAGCTTTTGAAAATTCCTGATACTTTAGAAATGTTTCTTTCAGCTTCATAGCTCTTCTTTGTAAATTTTTTAGATTATCTTATTTGAGAAAACCTTTATCAAGTTTCTTTCATACAAGATTTCCTGGGTAGTAACTACTTTTGGAATTGACACCATTCATTAACCAGTGTATGTGGTGTATTATGAATTTTGTGTTGTTCTGGACAAAGACGACATTTTGTGTCAAACCAGAAAACCTTTTTCCAATGTCGCCACATGATTTACTCTTCTTTTAATTGGATTATTAGATAATCCAGTAACCTATTAATTATTTCTATTCAAAATTTATCTCTTCCTCTTAATGAATTACTGCATTTTGGTATGATCTAATTCTTTTGATTGCAATTCACTTCTCAGTGGCAGAAAAATGTTAATTGATTTTGTTTATCATTTTTGTTTCATATTCCATTACTTTTATTTGATTTTCTCTTAATTTTTTAATAATTTTGAAAATTACAAAATATAGTTGCTATATAAACATCCAAATCAGGAATCTGTTATTTCTTTCTTGTTTTACTGAGATGGTCCCAATGTCTTTTGCAGTTAAAATGACATGTTCCCAACTTCCCCTTTACCTAATTGTACAAATGCCCTTGGCCACTCGAACTCCATCTAACATGAGGGCAAATATGAGAGAGGTGAATGTGGAGTAGAAAAAGTCTGGATTTTGTGGCTAAAACAGCTTACTTCTGCAAATTTTAACAAAACAAAACAATCAGCATAGGAGCACCATTCAAGGGCCCTTGCAAGCGAGGGACTCTGAAGCCTAACTTCTTTAGCTTCACAGTTAATTCCACCTGAGAGACTGTTAGGACACAAAGAGACAAACAAAACAAAACAAAACAAAATCCAAACTCACTGATTCCCACTCATGGCAACCCCGTGTGTTACAGACTAGAACTGAGCTCCATAGGGTTTTCTTGGCTGTAATCTTTATGGAAGCAGATCAGCAGGCCTATCTTCCATGGCACCACTCTGTGGGTTTGAACTGCCAACCTTTTGGTTAGCTGCCAAGAGCAAACTGTTTGCATCTCCCAGGGACCTACAAAGGGCCTGTCACTAGTAAAAAATATCTGGGCCTCCATTGTCTGGGGCTTCACTCTTCAGCTGTGATCTTTGTATGAGATCAGGCAAAGTTGAGAAAGCTAACTTTTTTTTCTCTGTATGGATTCTAAAGGCTTCCTCCTCAAATAAACAAATCAAAAGCATACTCTATGTATTCTTTGCATAAATGCATGAACATTTTAAAAAGAAGTAAACAGTAAACTACATATCACATACCAGAAATGAGGTAGCCTGTAGTAATAGCAATATGCACATTCACAAGTGATGGATCAAACCTATAAATATTTTTAAAAAAAATTTTTTAGCACATGGGTTATAAATGATGTCTACATTTTTTTTCCTATTGAGACTTAAATTTAATGAAAACACTTTCTGGAGCTTCTCAAATGTTAAGTTCCCACTTTCAAATATAAATCATATGCAGAGCCAACATGGCACTATAGACAGAAGGAACATGCCGTTCCTCTGCAGCAAAGACCCAAAAAACTAAGAAAAACAGACACAAATGTCAATCCTAGAACCCTAAGTACCAAGGAAGGAATAAAAAACTCAGTCAAGCACTGAACAGAATAAGAAACTGACAGAGACAGAGAACCAGGAGAGCTACGGAGCAGAGGTCTCATACTAGCTAACATGGCCAGATTTGCCATCTTGGACTTTAGCCACCAAAGAACTCAGACAGGGAGTCCAGGAAGGCAACTCCACGGAGCTCCCAACAGGAGACAGAGCAGTCAGTAATCAGGGATACATGTTTACCCACCTTACACCCTTCTTCCTTATACAAGACCTCTGCCAATTGCCATCAGGCCAAGGTTGCTCAGCTGGGGAGATACCAGCTCACTACCACAAAGGTTTGCCACCTTGGGCTACAGCCACAAAAGAACTCAGACAGGGAGTCTGGAAGGGCAACTCCATGGAGCTCCCAGAAGGAGACAGAACATCCAGTAACTAGGGATCCCAGGATACACACTTTACCACCCCCTACCCTTCTTCCCTCTATGTGGCCCCCAGCTGATTGCCACCCACTGCTTGCCAATGGATCAAGGTTGCTCGGCCAGAGAGACATTAGCTCACTGCCACCAGGGTCTGCCCCAATCCAATGGCCAGTGCCTACAGGCCCAATTTTTGCTTTTTTTGTGTGTGTGTTTTTGTTTATTTTATTTTTTTGAGGAGGGGGTTTGCTTTTCTAGCCCCAAGTGCTATCCCCTCCCCTTCTTAACAGGCTGTGATTGTTTTGGTTTGCTTTTTTTTCTTTTTTTTTTTAATTGTTTGTTCTATTTATTTCTTTGTTTTTTTAAATTTTTTTGTTAATTTTCTCTCTGTCTTTCCTTCTTACTCTTTCTCCCTCCCAGCTAGCCCAGTGTGCCATCTCCTCCCCTTCTTTACAAAATCAAACAAAATCCGTTGCCTAGAGTCAATTCTGACTCATAGTGACCCTATAGGAGAGAGTAGAACTGCCCCATAGGGTTTCCAAGGAGCAGCTGGTGGATTGGAATTGCTGACTTTTTGGTTAGCAGCCAAGCTGTGACAGCCTGTGATTTTTTGGGTGTTTTTCTTTCTGTGGGTTTTTTTTTTTTAATTTGTTATTTGAGTTTTTTTTTTTAAATTTTGCTTTTTTCTGTTGTGTTTCTCTCTCTTCCTTCCTTCCTTTTCTTTCTGCCACCCACCGAGCCCCATGTGCCATCCCCTTCCCTTTTTCACAGGCTATGATATTTTGGTTTGTTTGCTTTACCCTTTTTTTCTTTTTCTTTATTCTTTTTCTTTTCTTTTTTTCAATTACTTCTCTGTCTCTTAGCTTTACTTCCTCTCCTTTCTCCCCCCCACCCAGCCTTGTTCAGCACTCCCACCCTTTCTGGAGGGGTCGTGCTGCACAACTCAGTTGCAGAGTCACTGCACGTGCCCCCCCCCCAGGTCTACATCACTGACACTGATCTGCTCCCTCAGCGCCATGTTTATTGTTTGTTTTTTTGTGTATTTTCTTGTTTGTTTGTTTGGTATTGTTTCTCCTCTCCCTCTCCCTTGCTTACTTTCCTCTCTCCCCTCCATCCAGCCCCCTGTGTCACCTCCAACTTCTTGGTGAGCTGTGTTGTACACCTCAGCTGCACCGTCCCCATAGGCTAGCACACACAGAGCCATATTTTATATTTTTCCTTATCTTTCCCCTTCTCCTTTTCTTTCTCCCTCCCACCTAGGTCCTTCCCTGACTCTTCCCCTTCCAGATGGTTGTGCCATGCCACCTGGCAAGAGAGGCATCAGCTCGTCACCACCCCAATTCAGCCCTGCCCCCAATGGCCAGTGCACCCACCAACATATTTGTTTGTTGCTATTTTTTTATTTGATTGTTTGTTTCTTCTCTCTCTCTCCCCTCATTCCTTTCTTTTCTCCTGCTCACCTAGCACTGTGGGCCACCCACACTGCTTCTTGACAGGCTGAGCCACACTGCTCGGCTAGAGACCCACCAGCACACTGCCCTGCTGGGTCTCCCCCACCCCCACAAGCCGGATCCTACAACATCACCATTTTATTTACCTTTTTTCTTTTTATTACTATTTTTACTTCATTTTTTGACTCTTTTTTTATTACCTTTGTTTCTCTTTTCTTTCTGTTCTGTCACTCACTCACCCACTTATCTCTGCACATCACATCCACTCCTTTCCCTCCAGTCTATCTGCAATGTGCACTAAGTGCCACACCCCTGAGTGGTACAAACATGGTCCCCCAAAACCTGCACTGTTCCACAGCCCTTCCCTGTTGCCTCCAGTTCATACCACAAACTACATATCCCTGTCCCTCCACCCATTCTGGACCTGCCCTGCTGCACCATAGGTGAGTGACCTGCCCTACTCAGCTGGAGAAGGTGGTGAAAAGTATCATGCTCACAGGCAAGCAAGCAACAAAACACACCCAGCCCGTCTGCCCAGACATAACCAAATAAAACAAAAACCAGAATGAAATGATCAAATCTACTATCAATAAATGAAGAAATAATTCCTGAATGTCCCGGAGACAGCAAACAATATCAAAACATATAAAAAGAGAAGGAAGGATGGCTCCAGAATGCAACCAAAATAAAACACCAGATGACCTTCTGCTAGAAGAAAAGGCACTGGAAATACTTGATAGGGAATTCAGAACTCTAATATTCAGGATTCTCGAACAGATGAAGGAAAATGTAGACAAAGATAAAGAAAAAATAGACAAAATTATGGAAAAGACAGACAAAACAATGGAAGAAATCAGGAAATAATACAGGAACGAAATGTCAAAATAAAGAAACAACTAGAAATCCTACAATAACAGCAATTAGAAATCCAAAAGATAAACAACAAGATTTCAGAAATCGACAGTGAAATGGAAGGTTTTAGGAGCAAATTTGGAACAATGGAAAGAAGACAGGATCAGTGAAACTGAAGACAAATCCTTGGATACCACTTTGAGGAAAAATCAGAGGAAAGAATGAGGAAAAATGAAGACACCCTCAGAACAATGTGGGATACAATCAAAAGCCAAAAATTGTCTGGGATCGGAGTTCCAGAACAAGGGAGAAAACGGAAAACAAAGATCATTGAAGATTTGCCGACATAAAACTTCCCTAATATCATGAAAGATGAAAGGCTGACTATCCAAGAAGCTCAACAAACCCCATATAGGATAGACCCCAAAAGAAAAACACCAAGACATATCCTAATCACACTCATTAAAACCAAAAAACAAAGAAAGAATCCTGAGAACAGCTCGAGAAAAACGAAAAGTCACACACAAAGGGGAAACAGTAAAACTAAGCTCTGATTACTCAGCAGAAACCATACAGGCAAGAATGCTATGGGATGACATATATAAAGTCTTGAAAGAAAAAAACTGTCAACCAAGAATAATATATACTGCAAAACTCAAATACAAATTGTAAAACACATAACAGTTTAGCAGAACTGAAAAGATCCTGTAGTATTAGTATTAGCAGGCTTATGCTGTTCCTAGTATAATCTCAACCCACAGCCCCTGAGGAAATCTTGTAGCCTTCCTGTCCAAGATAACTCATTTTAGTCACGAGATCTTCTGTAGTCCATAATTTCCCTGAAGTTTACTGGAGGCCCAAGCTAGTCTCCAAAATTTCCTTGAGAATAAATCGTCAACTCTTGGAGTTCAGACTAGGCTCAAATCCTCTAAAGTACCTAAAGCCAATCCATGATGAGGTCCCCAAATTAAAATACTTCAAACCTCCTAAGGGTAGCTAAAATTACCCAATACATTTTGTACTAAACATAAGTTTTAAGAACTATTCTCAGAATCCACAAGTCCAGGGGAGTAAAACAAGGGTTTTTGTTTTTTTTCTTTTTTCCCTAGAATTTGGAAGGCATCATCCACACCACCAGTGGAATTTATGATGGGCTTTGGTGAATATCTAAGGACCCACTACAGTTGATACTCCAGTGTATTAAGTCACCTAAGGAATATCTCAATAGGATTCTAGATCCCATTCTAAGCTACGCAACGCACAGAATACTGTATTAGCTATGATAATACTTCTAACTACACAAATAACCATAATTTCTCATATATATTAGCTAAAAGTTTTACTAATTTAGCTAAAAGATAACTTTTTATAAATGTGTTCTCAAATGATTTGTTTGCAAGAGGATCCAAATGGAATTGCAGATGCTGATTATTTTGACGCCTTATTCTGAATCAGAGACACAAGTGTCTCGAGAAATCATCCAATCCAGTCTCTGATTTTGAAGCAATATGTTATTATCATCATCATTTTACTGAGGACTAGAGGGACTTGCTTATTATCATACGATTAGGAAATAATCAGAGTAGGACAGCTGTTTCAACCTCTACATGTATCAATATCCTGCCCTTTAGCCCTACTAATGCTCTTTGCTCCAAGAACAAACATAAGTGATCAGTCCTTTATCTGACTTATAATGTGAACTAATGGTAAAGTATTTAAATCTCAGCAGACAAAAAAAAAAAGTAGGTGTCATTTTTAACAAAATAAGACTGTCAACAGCTAAAACCAGAAATGGAAACATTTAGCACAAATCATGTCTTCTTTACAAATTTGGATCTGAAAGCTACAACACATGAAAATTGAACTGAATACATTATTGCATAAAATGTAAAAATAAAAAAAAATAAGTAGAACTTTGTTAAGAAAAAAATTAATCAATGAGTCATCTTTGTTGTAAAATTTACATCTCAAAAGATGTGTTCTTCTGAAGATCATCTAAAGAAAATAAAAATGAAAAAAAAAAAGCTAGAAATTGTTTCGGTAGACTATATAGAAACCTGGTCAAGGAATTAAATTCACTAAATTGATACACTCTGAAAAACAGCTTTCCAATTAAAATTCATCGGTACTGGAATAATACTGGTGGGAACAATTCCATAGTGATGAATAAAACACAACTTCTTTGCAAACAGTGGTGGTCAAAATGCCTGGTCAGCTTGTCCCCAGAGCCCATGTCGACCACATCCCAGTGCAGTACTTTCTCAAAACACATCTCATCTCTCAAACTAAGCTGAACTAAAACTTTCATATAGCACAAGGAAATACATTTTGTAAAATTGCTATTATTGAAATGAGTTTAAACTTTTTAAACCATCTGACAGATCATCCTATTATTGATGAACACATTTATTATTAGTGCCTCAAATCTTTCTCATGTGGTGCGAAATTCTTCTCACATAGCCGTCAATAATTCTCAAATTTCATCTCTTTGACATCAATTGATGGCTAAAAATTTATGGATTTGAAGTCTAAGTCTTAAGTAGCTGTTATCCAAGTTGACTAACCTATCTCAATAATAACTCATTTTTACTCAGAAAAGTATTTACAATAACCTGGTTTTATTCGCTAACAGTAAAAATGTTTATATCATCACCATGTATTCCCTATTTTTGATAACAATTGCAATACTAAGTCAAAATGGCCCTCATTGTATGTATTCAAATCTAAAACCGTTTTACGGCACCTTGCTGAAATAAATCTTGAACACATGCATTTCCATAAAACATACACCATTTCTCTACTTTATATTTTAAAGAGAAATGTCATTATTAATAAGTAATATAAAAATAGAAATGAACGGGACTATCTTCGAAATAAACAGCTTACCCAAGTGGATCAGCTATATGAGCTCCATCAGATAATAAAATATATAGGCAAAAGACTGCAATCACTAAATAATGGCATGTGGATACCACCCTGAAATGAAACAAAATACATACAAAGATTTTAGATTCTTTGCACTAAACTTTAACTCATTCTGGCAAGACATTTAGCGTTCTTAAGAAGTTATATCTAGAAGCATTTGAATATCATAGTGCAATACATCAGAGAGTATAATACAAAATTGCCATTTAGAAACCCAAGGGCTACACTTCGGAATTAATGACAAAAAGACTGCCTGTGACTGTAGTCCCCTGCTAGAAAACCGAGGAATCACTTCTTGGTGAAGAGCTCTAAAGCAGAAGCATACGTGATGGTGTGGTTGATGGAGTTTTGTACAGAGAGATGGCAATTGGTAAGCCCACTACCCAGCCCCCTGCTCCCACCTTCATCTCTAACGGCGTCACTGCAGGCTGAGTTCCCTGCTCTTTAGGAAATCAGTTGGGAATGCTTCCAGATCTACTCGCCTTAACCACCTCCTTATCCTTAAAACGGAGTCCTGGTTGTACAGTGGTTAAGAGATCAGCTGCTAACTGAAAGAAAGGTCAGCTGTTTGGCAGTTCAGATCTACCAGCTGCTCCTTGGGACCCCTATGGGACACTTCCACCTTATCCTATAGGGTTGTTATGAGTTGTAATCACCTCGACAGCAATGGGTTTGTTTTGTGTTATTTTGTTTTGGTATAGTCAAAAGAGAATTCAGATGGATCATGAAAAAAAGGTATGTTACCTTGGAGATTTCAGTTTAAAGGTACATCCACACGCATTATTTCACTTGATTTTTGTAACAAACCCTTGAGAAAGTCAGGGCAGCTACTATTAGTTCTTCTTTAAAAGAATTATGAAAGCCCTTATAAAAGAAAAATTGAGGCCCATATACAGAGATACATTTTTAAAAGAAACACCCAAGTGAAAGCAAAATGTTCACAAAATCCAGGTCCAGTTTTCTTCTATTGCAAGAATAAGGATTAAATGAAAAACATCAGTTTCTATGAACATATCCTGCTAATTAATAATTGATTGACTCAGATGACATGCAAATTCTATGATGTGCCACTTAAAGATCTATGTGTAGGTTACTGTGTATTTATGCACACATGAAGATTTTTATCCAACAGTTTAGGATTTCTCACATCTTGATTGAGTTTGCAAGTAGTGAAGTTTCTTTTGTCTTCGTCAGAATAAAAAATGAAAGGAACAGCAAAGCTTTCTCTCTGTAAATTACTGATGTGCAGTAAATATCGCTCTACAATATGACCCCAAATCTTTCAAAATAACTGAAATATATCAACCAAAATAAGCTTGATGTTAGAAAAAAAAATCTCATTGTAACGCAAAAACCAGTATATTTGATCTACTAGATGATATGTTCCTAAATAGATAAGTATAATCATATTAAATCAAATGCTATTTTAAAGTCTCAAGGAATTTCACTAATTTAAAGGCACTGATCCTTTGTAATACTAAAGATCATTTTGACGTGTAAATAATTAGCCCAATTTATCTGACTTACAAGTCTGGAATTTTCATGCCAAGCGCACCTGTATTCCATTTGGTATAGCAAGAGAAAAATGTAAACTCCTTGATGATGAAATGAAACACTCCATCTAAGTAATCCTATAGCCACCTTTCTGTTGCTATTCAAAACTTCTATGAGAGAGAAAAATAAAAAGCATAGCCTGTCTTAGTAACCAGTTTTAGTGTTCGATAACCTTAAGTCCAAAAGTTTCCTTTAGACGGAATCTCTGTTTCTGATACTCAGGCCTCAAATTCTCTTTTCGGTTGAGAAGTTATACAGTAAATGGGATGGATTACAAGCCCTCAGCTGCTGGAAATGGCATATGTCTCATTAAAACCAAAAACCCATTGCGATTGAGTCGATTCCTACTCATAGCGACCCTGTAGAACAGAGTAGAACTGCCCTGCAGTGCTTCTGAAAAATGGCTGGTGGATTCAAACTGCAGACCATTTGGTTAGCAGCCAAGCTCTTAATCATCGCGCCACCAGGGCAGTTAAATGCAACATGGACCAAACAGCTCCCATTATGAGGAACAGGAGAAGCAGACACCTTGTGCTTACATACTATTCTATATTAAAAGTCTATACTTTGACACTTCTCTGTTAGTAAAAATTTCCTATCTTAGTCTAAAATTAGATTGCTGACAAAGCAAAATGTAAATTCATTAGTGTCTAAAAAGAAATAGCAAAATGCTGCCCAACATAAAATATTTCGATTTTTTTTCAAAGATTAAAAAGAAATGTTTATGCTTACAAAAAGACACTGGTTTTCTAGGAAATAATTAGTGACCATTTTTAGAACATCTATTTAAAGTAACTGATTTAAACTTTCAGTAATAGTCTGAGTATTAACCAAAGAAATGATATAGCTCAAATAAACAGGAGAGTTAAATTTTGGAGCCGTAGATTTAAAAGTGGGAGTATTTCAACACAATGGAAATTTCTAAGCTACATGATAGCAATTGGATAAAAATAACTAAGAAAATTTTAAAAATTTAAAATTATATTTTTATATATAATCTACAAGTATGTAAGTTTTCAGAAAAAGCAACAATTAAACACAACAATTTCTCATTTATAATTAAACTGTTAGCCCTCAAGTGAGCATTTTCTGGTGAGGTATTTCCTCCTCTCTTTTTCCTGTTAGATGGCTTAGACCACCCACTGTTCAGAGACTTTTGCCTGATTACTAGGAATAACTATGTGTGCTGTATTGATCCACTTGTTTCAAGACTGGAGGCTAGGTTTCAAGATACAAATGCGTACTTTATTCAAATAGTAGCCAATTTTTTCCCTTTTTGCATTCTCTACCTCACAGTTGGAGGGGAAAGCAGGAGTATCTCTAAATGATGAGAAAGACAGAAACAGAGAGAACACACCATTTGAATAGCTAAATGAATTTTACATCATCCTAGGCTCCTTTTTCAAATGGCAACTCAGTTTGCCAAATGGTAATTCCCTGCAGTGTAGAATGGCAATGATAAGACTAAATAATGTACAGCATTTTTTAACTTGTTTTGTTTCACTTTTATATTTGTATCTACTTCTCTATACCTTCCCTATTTCTTTGACTTGCAGTTACCCATGTGAAATCTAGGCAACGAATCAGGAAGGCCGAAGAAGAATTGATGCCTTTAAATTATGGTGTTGGCAAAGAATATTAAATATACCTTGGACTGCCAAAAGAATGAACATATCTTTCTTGGAAGAAATACAGCCAGAGTGCTCCTTAGAAGTTAGGATGGCGAGACTTTGTCTCACATACTTGGGACATGTTATCAGAAGGGACCACTCCCTGGAGAAGGGCATCACACTTGATAAAGTAGAGGGTCAGTGAAAAAGAAGGGGACCTTCAACAAGATGGATTGACACAGTGGCTGCAACAATGGGCTCAAGCACAACAAGTGTGAGGATGGTGCAGGACCAGGCAGTGTTGCATTCTGTTGTACATAGGGTCAGAACCAACTCAGTATCAACTAACAACAACAACAAGATTCAAAACTGTTTAGCCTACCCTAACCACAGTGAAAAAGAAATGGAGAGCTTAAATTCGTAGCATAGACTGCATGCCCCGACTTCCCCCTCTTCCTTCACTTTTCTGCCATTCCATCTACCTTTATATGTAAGAGAGAGTTTAAAACAAATAATGATTAGTACCTTTAGTATGGTACATTTGACCAATACAATGTGTGCTATTCTTAACACAAGAAAATATACCTCTTATTTTTCAATCATATATGGAGCAATGATTCTTGCTTTTTTGGGCAAGAAGAACTGTAGCATGTATGAACCAAACAAGTTAGTATTAGATGCAAAAGAAAACCACTAAAGTCTTATTCACATTATCAGTTACAAAAGTGGATGCCTGAAAGGTGGAAACAGGCTAAATGTTCATCAACAGATGGATGGATAAACAAAATGTGGTACATACACGAATGGAATGTCACTCAGCTATAAATAGAAATGAAGTCCTGATACTTACAACCACAAGGATGAGCCTGGAAAACACTATTCTGAATGAAATAATTCTAACAGAAAAGACAAACATTGTATGATTTCACTTATATGAAAAGTCTAGAACAGGCAAGCATATAGAAATCAGAGTTCATTAGTGGTTACCACATGTGGGCGGGATGGCACAAGAAAGGAAGACACAATGTTTAGGAGACACTGAGAGTCTTTTAAGGATGATGGAAAAATTCAGGAATGGTTAATGATGATGTGATGGTTGAACAACATGATGAACATATTCAATGTCACTGAACTGTACATGCAAAGACTGCCGAAAAGGCAACTGTTTCGTTACCTATACATTTACCACAAATTAAAAAGAAACAAAAAACTTGGATGCCCGCGAAAGAATTTGACTCAAACAAAGATAGAGGATGTCAGGTGAAATATGCTGTTTCTCAAAAACTGAAGATATTTGGCAGAAGTTCTTTAATTCTAAAAGGAAAAGTCAATGAAAAACAATTATAGCAATTTTAAAGACTTGCTGAATTTGTTTTATGCTTAGCATTTACTTCAACTAAATAACAACAAACAATATTCCCATAGCTGCTACCATTCACTGAGGTTTGCAAATGCACAGGGATGTCTCAGCACATGAAATGCTTTAAAGGAGGTGAAGTAGTCATCAGCATCATTTTGTGTTTGAAACCTTGTAAGAGATTAATGAGTTGCAGGGAAAAAAAGAAAATGTGTAGCCAATTTATCAAAAACTCCAGCAGATTTCTACATCCTTAGGTATCTTGTTCTTTTTCCATTAAAAAATCTAAAAGTAATTTTTAACTTTAGAATTACACAGCAAAACAATACATTCTGGAAGGCTCTGAACCAGAATGAAAAGTATATTAAAAGAGAGATTGGGATGCACTGATTGTGTTCTGTGTTCTCTGGTGTGTGGTGTTTAACTAACTGCCCTAAGCCAGTTAATACCATATATAGGCTACTCACACCGCAAGGAATGTTTTCTTATTACTACCAAAGAACATGTGTTTATCTAACATATTTCAGAAAAGAAGACAAATCAGTAGTCTTAGACAGCTGGTGTCTAACTTTAACCTTCCCATACTTCCCCAGAAAGTTAAATAAGTTCGTCATAACACCTTTCAATATAAGAATTTAAAAAGATGTCTTGTATGATATCTATCTACTTCTTTCCTTTTACCCCTAAGGTCAAATAATAACATGTGACCTTAAAATTTGTTACATCCTCAGTGAAAAATAGTCTTTTGAGATATTTTAGAGAGCTACTTTACATAACAAAGCTAGTTTTTTTTTTAATTAAGCAGTTACATTTTTATATGCTTTACCTTAAATTCCATGCAATCTTCACTTCCAAGCTGAGACTATTAAAACGTGGAAAAACTTTTGCTGAAAACCAAGAACTCACAAAGTGGAAAAGAAGCTGACAGATGACAAAGCTGGCAAAAGTAGTGCCTAGTTTAGTGATGGTATCCATATTTCTTCAATCTGTTAAAAGAAATGATAGCTATAAACTGCTATCTCATGATAAATCTACATTAAAAATTGCTTACATTTTAGAGTATGTAGTTTTTTAAGTACTTTGTTTTACGTAGTACAAAGAAACTATAACAATTTTAAGCCTTGTTTGTTTCTTCGCCTTTACCAGCTTTTGTCATGTATCTTACATTTGTACTTAAAATAAAAGGGGGAAAATCTATTATCTTAAAGATTTCAATGCTGTAAATTTTAGAAGACAACCTTAACAACATAAGATTCAAAATCATCCAAGTCTTAAAGTTTAACATTAAGAGGAAATCTGAAGTACTATAACTGAAGACATCCTTTTACTAATACTACTGTTCATTACACTTAGGAAAAATCAACTGATTTCTCTATACCTCAGTTTCCTCATTTATAAAATGAGAGAGTTTGTTGGATAATTTCTAAGGTAAAATTAAGCTAAAAGTCATAAGAGAAATAACATTACCTGTAAAATTAAAACAAACAATAATTACCAAATTAAAACTAATTGTATAGTAGGCAAACAATATTTAGAAGAAAATTAAAATTGTAAGAAGAATAACACAGTCTTAGAAAAGAATCATACCACTGTTACCACTTAAATTAACTTTTAAAAAATATTCTGCATTCACACATATCCTTGGACCAAAAATCCTCCATAGTTTTTATTTGGTTCTTAAAACCCTTAGTAACATTCAGACCAAAAAAAGGACACTAATGCATTTGCTCATATCCAGCAAACAGAGCATTTTTATGGCTCCATCTTTGATGGAGCTGACCCTCAAATGAAAAGGCAGTGAATCAATACACATTTCCAGCGGCCTAATGTGAAGAAATAAAGTCACCTACTACAGCCAATTCACAAGGGAAAAACCAAGTCATTGACTGCATCTGCAATAACCCCACTTCATTCCTTTCCAACCAAGATATCATAATAAGAATCAGTCACCCACAGGGCACCTTCCCATAGAGCTCATGTGTCTATAAAGAATTCTTTCCTCATTTTATTTTTTGTGCTCATTAAAAATATAGATATACAGTTCTTCTCATTGGGACTCCGTTAACTATATTGCTCATTTACTTTTTTTTTTTAATTCAACCATGTTGATTGGGTATTAAAATATTTAATTTGAGGGTTTTTAGCCTAATGTTAATATTAGCCAAATAATACACAAACATTTTGTACATAAATTAATTATCATTAAAATCTACTAAGTGAGGTGTAAAGGGGAAATATTCTTATAAGATTAAAGCAAATAGGGTTTCATTTATCTGCTGAGGGGCAGATAAACAAAGAAAATAAAACCAGTCATCAGAACAAGAGTGGAGAGTCTATTCTTAAATGGAGAGCTGGTTTGCTCTGAAGGGTTTTATCTGCTCCCTGCTGGTCTTAGAGTTCAGCTGGGCACAGCTTGCTCACTGATTTTCATTAAAATCCAATGTGTACCATGAACATTTATTTCATATAAGTTTGTTAAAAGGTATGCCATAAAACATATTTATAAATAGGTATCATGTAACATCCATTTTATGAACTAATTTAACTAATCCAGTAAAAGGCACTCAAACAATTCACCATTAAGATATTTCTCATTTTGAGGCAGAGCTAACATGGCACTATAGACAGAAGCACCACGCCATCCCTCCACAGCAAAGACCCAGAAAGCTCAGTAAAACAAACGTCAGTGCTTAAACCCTAAGCATCAAATGAAGAGATAAAGAACTCAACCAAGCACCAAATGGAATAAGAAACTGAAGGAGAACAGAGCAAGGAGAGTTACCAGCGGCGGTCCCCTATCAGCTAATGAAGCATGGGTCCACCATCTTGGACTCCTGTCAGAGATAGGTGAACAGGGATTATGGGAAAGCAGATTCACAGAGCTCCCGGCAGAAGACAGAGCACCCGGTAACCAGGGAGACACACTTTCCCACTCCCTACCCTGCCTCCCCCTGCTCTACCTTTGCCTCATCCTGGCCAGCTGATCAGAGGCTTCCTGGCTGGCAAATCCAAGGCTTCTCAGCGGGCAATCCCAGCTTCCCGGCAGGCCAATTCATTGTTTCATGGTGGGCTTCTCAGAAGGATGATTAACTGCTTCCTGGTGGCCAATCCATCACTTTCCAGTAGGCAGAGACCATGGTACGCAAGGCACTGGTTCCTGTGCCGCATGGATTCGACCCACCCACACAGGCTGGCTTCTCCACTGCCACATCTTTGTTGCTGGTGTTGCTTTTCCGAGCCTCTTCTGGTTTCTTCCCTGTCTCTCACCTCCTCCCCCTCCTTTCTCTCGAACACTTGACTATGTGTGCCATCTTTGCTACTTCTGAAAGGTTGTGATGTGCTGCTCAGCTGGAGAACTACTTTCCTGGTTGGTGCTGCCATGCTGGTGGGATCCTTGGGAGCTTTTTTTTCTTTGTTTGTTTTATCTTTTTTCCTTTTTATTTTTCTTCATTTCTCGGTTTCTCATCTCTTTCTACTTACCTTCTTTTCCTGTCTCCTGGCTACTGGGCGCTATGGATGATCACCATCTTTTCTAGTCAGGGTGTAATGAGTGGCTTGGGAGCCACATTCCCAGTTTGTGCGGCTGCACCAGTGGGATCCTTGGGAGCATTTTCTAAAACTTTGCATTTCTTTATTTATTTGTTTACTTTTTGTTTTTCTTCATTTCTAAGTTTCTTGTCTCTCCACACCAACAGCAGGCTCCCTCAGCACTTTTTCCCCCTGTTTCTCCTCTCTCTTCTTTTCCATAAAAAACGTAGTTCCAAACATCACAATCCCCCCTCCCCCTCCCTCTTGCCTATCTGTACCGTGTGCTGAACATTGCATTCTGAGCAGCCTACCAGAAACTGTCCTGCACTGAACCCCAGCTCACCTTATCAGCCCCACTATGTACCACAGACAACCCATCCCTGCCCCTCCCCTTCAGCTGGACCTGCCCTGCTGCACCACAGCTGAGCTACTGGACCTGCCCATTGGACAAGTAGGTGAAAAATACTGTGTTCACGGATGAGCAAACAACAAGGAACACAGAGCCCACCTGATCAGACATAACCAAATAAAACAAAAAAGCAAGATAAACAAACATATCTACAATCAATAAACAAAGAAAATAACAACTGGATGTCCCAAAGACAGAAGACAATATCAAAACATATATAAAAAAAAAACAGGACAGGATGGTTCCACTAGGCTTCCTAAATAAGACACCATATTATTCTCCAGTAGAAGAAAGGGCACTAGAACTACCTGATAGGGAATTCAAATCTCTAATATTAAGAGCTATCCAAGAGTTGAAGTGAAAAGCAGACAAAAGTGAGGAAAAAATAGACAAATTTATAGAAAAAAACAGACAAATTCATGGAAAATACAGACAAAACACTGAAAGAATTCAGAAAAATAATACAGGAATAAAATTACAAAATAAATTCACAACTAGAAACCATACAAAACAAAAATTAGAAATCCAAAAGCTAAAAAACAAGATTTCAGAAATTTCCAGTGTCATAGAAGGGCTGAGGAACAGGTTTGAAACAATGGAAGACAGGATGAGTGAAACTGAAGAGAAACACTTGGATATAACTTTGAGCAAATATCAGAAAAAAAAAGTGAAGAAACTCTGAGAACTATGTGGGATACAATCAAAAGTAAAACTTTGTAAGTGATTGGAGTTCCAGAAAAGGGGTAGAAAATGGAAAACACAGAGAGGATCACCAAAGAATTGCTGACAGAAAACTTCCCTAATATCATGAAAGATGAAAAGCTGACCATCCAAGAAACTCAACGAACCCCATATAAGATAGACCCCCGAAAGAAAATCACCAAGGCATATCATAATCACACTCGCTAAAACCAAGGACAAAGAAAGAATCCCGAGAGCAGCTCAAGAAAAACAAAAAGTCACATACAGAGAGGAAACAATAAGACTAAACTCTGATTACATGGCACAAACCACGCAGGAAGAAGGCAATGGATAACATATATAAAACCCTGAAAGAAAAAAATTGCCAACCAAGAATAATATATCCTGCAAAATCTTGTTCAAATATAATGGTGAAATTAGGACCTTTCCAGATAAACAGAAATTAAGGGACTTTGTAAAAACCAAACAAAACTTTAAAGAATTATTAGAGGGAGTTCTTCAGTTTGAGAAAAAAACAACATCAGATGACAGCCTGAACTAGGACAGAAGACTGCACCACCCCGATACCAACCTAGGAAATGAACTGTCAAGGACTATTCAAAACCAACAAGATTTCAACAGGAAACCAGAGAGGTTAATCTGCAAATGAGAACAACGTTAGAACAATGAAAAAGGGAATAAATGGTGTAGGTATAGAACTTTCTAATGGAGAGGAAGGCTAGGTGATAACAAGCAGTAATAGACTGGTTAAAATCTAGGAAGGTAAGGATGAATTTCAAGGTAACCACAAAGAAAGTTAACAAACCTACTCATCAGAATAAGGAAGAAAAACATAAAGTCTCAGTAAAAACACAATCTACAAAAGCAAAAGAAATGAAAAAAAAATCCACAAACAAAAGGGATTCAGCACAGGAGAGTAAGAGGAACAGAGAAAACGTCAGTACTACAAAAAAAGCACTGCAAAATGACAACAATTAACTCACACCTATCAATAATTACCCTGAACGTAAATGGCTTAAATGCACCCATAAAGAGACAGAGAGTGACAGAATGGATAAAAAAATAGGATGCATCTATATGCTGTCTACAAGAGACATACTTTAGAAACAAAAACATAAATTTATTAAAAATCAAACAATGTAAAAACACATAAAGCGAACAGCCACCAAAAAAGAGCAGGAGTGGCAATACTAATCTCAGTTAAAATAGACTTTAAAGCAAAATCCATAAAAGACAAAGAAGGGCACTATATCATGATTAAAGGCTGATCCACTACAAAGATATAAGCATAAATATTTACACACCCAATGACAGGGCTAAAAACTACATAAAACAGTCCTTAACATC